TATATATATATATATATATATATATATATATATATATATATATATATATATATATATATATATATACACACACACACACACACACACACACACACACACACACACATATACATATATATACATATTTATTTTTATATTAATTTTTATATTAATAAACCAGAATTCCATCGCCGAAGCTTTCTATCTGGCAGAATTGTCATTAACTTTAGTGGAAAAAGCAAAAACGCTTGTTAAAGAAATAACAAGATAACACTACCACTAAGATGCCTCTTCTTCCTGCTATGGAACCTGACCTATGACTCACAAGGAGATGACGCCAATTAGGAAATCGCTTTTCCAACGAGTCATAGTGCGTTCGATAGCTTACATGTAGCTAATAAAAACCCTAAAGGCGTTTGTGCCAATGGGCCTTCGTTTAGGAGAAATTACAAAACAAAGTTAGGGTCACGCAACTATGTCCCATGTAAAGAAGAACATTAGAATCTTTTTCGAGTAAGCGGCGTAGCTGAGCCGACTAAGGCTCCCGTCCATACATTTTTGCGCCGGCGGCGTGCGTTCGAGTCCCGCCGACGACTGCTTCGCTTTTTTTTTTTTTTCAATTTTGGATATATAAAAGACACTACATTAATCATTATTTATTTTTTTAAATTTATTTTGTTTTTCTATGTAAAAATAAGGACATTTCGGGATGTTTGAACGCAATACGAAATAAAAAACAGTTTTAAAGTCATGAACTGATTATATTTCTCATGCAATGTACATGTGTTATTTTGTCAAGAATATTTTGTACAATATAAACTTTCTTTTATAATTATATATTTATTTACATACGATAAAAGGTTTCCATCGCTTCGCAATGTTGTGGATGAAAATTGATGTAAAAATAAACATCGCATATCGATGTACATCTTGGCGGTATAAATTATAAATTATATTTTGGTTTATTATTTTTGTTGTTGAATTTTTTATATGTAGAATAAAAGTGTGAAATATTATAAAAAGATGAGACTCGCAAATGGACAAGCAGGTATATTCGTCAGTGTTCACTTGTAAGAAAGGACCTTTGTTAGGTAGAGTCCCCCCCTCCTTTCGACCTTTTTAACGGTTTTCACAGAGGGACTCTCACACGTTGTAACGGTCTGACCAGTTTCGTGGTAGCATTTGTAAAGAGAGCGTGGTACGAAACATCAGTAAAAATGGAGACAACATTTATTACCGATGAAACTGTCGAATATGTGCAACTTCTTGCAAAGTGCGATATTTCGAAGGAAGACTTGACGGATGCGGTTGAATATTTTCGTGGTAAATATATTAATGAAGAATTAATTATCTGCTTTCATAACGTCACAGTATATTTCAAATTATAATGTAAAATAATTGTTTGTAGATATTGCTGTACGCTTTAATTTAATATTTGTTGACGCCCCACGCAAATTTTCGAACAATGCTAAATTAGTTGGCGGCAAACTTTTTGAAAAATTTATTAAACTATTAGGAGAGCATGAAATTTTGGACGACATTGAATATTATACAGAAGAAGAACAAAACGTGGTTGTATGCGAAAATATGCCGAGTACAAGTAAGAATACACCCGATGAATTGGAAGATTATGAACCTCCAGAAAAAATTTCTACGCATAAAGTAGTGCCATACGATACAAAATTAAAGGTCGTACTGACAGCACAAGAACATCCACAGTGGTCTTTCAAAACATTAAAGCATCATTTTAGAAAATATTTAAACCATCCTTCTGATGTTACGAAATATAAAAAAGCTGTTTTGTCAGGCGGTACTTTTAGAGACAAATTAAATACAATAAAAACTAATGTGTACGATCGCTTCACAGAAGCAAGAAATAAGAATCAATTAGTTACGCGACGTTTGCTTCAACAGTGGGCTATTGCTGCAGCCGCACAATATAACAAGCCAAAAGAAGAACAAGACAGCGAAGAACATACAAATGTTTTTCATTTCGTAGCATCCAGCACGTGGTTGACCAACTTTTTACACGATTATAGGATATCGAATCGTCGCGTTGTTCGATATGTTTCCAAAAAAGAAGCAATTACACCAGAAGTTGTCATAAAATCAGCGGAACAATTTCAAACATTAATTCAAGCAATTTCGCCAGATTACGATCCCGATTTTGTAATTAATACAGACCAAACAGGATGTGAGTATAGAGTTAATGTTTCGCGAACTTACACGCACACTGGAGAAAAATTAGTTCAATTGTACATAGGCGATTTAAATAAAGTTTCGCATTCATACACCGCCCAGTATTCACTGACGAAATCCGGGAAGTTATTAAATAAAGTATTTGTTTGTTTGCAAGAATTTTCTGATAATTTTGGAGTACGCGTACAAAAAGATGTAGATAAATTATTAGAATTATGTAAAAATGTCGTTATTACATGTTCTAAATCGGGCAAATTAACAACATCATTATACGCACAGTATTTGGAAAATGTTGTTAAGCCGTATGTCGGGGATAATTTGTTTTTATTTATTGTTGATTCCTGGGGAGGACAAAAAAACATCCAAATGTATAACGAAATATTTCGCGACAAAAATAATAAACCAACATGTAATTTACAAATTATACCGCCAAAATGTACTCCGATATGTCAGCCGTGCGACGTTTATTTTTATCGACAAGTGAAAGTTATAATTAAGAAAATACAAAACTGTCCAGATGTAATTTCACAATCAGGTGACGAAAGCAAACAATTAAATACTCGTGCTGATGCGATTCGTATACAATCTTTAACTCATTATCTGTTATCAGCGCCGAAATTTAAATGTATGCTTCAATATGCATGGTATGCATCCAAATTAGCTGACGATAGAGAAATATTTTTAAATGTGAATCAATTATGCTTCTCTTCAAACATTTATAATAAAACATGTGTATGTGGACAACATAATTCATTTATTAAATGTTCGTGGTGCGAAAAAATTTTATGTTTCCAATGTTTTTACATCAATTTTCATCCACAACATTGCGAAGCGATGGAAACCTTTTATCGTATGTAAATAAATATATAATTATAAAAGAAAGTTTATATTGTACAAAATATTCTTGACAAAATAACACATGTACATTGCATGAGAAATATAATCAGTTCATGACTTTAAAACTGTTTTTTATTTCGTATTGCGTTCAAACATCCCGAAATGTCCTTATTTTTACATAGAAAAACAAAATAAATATAAAAAAATAAATAATGATTAATATAGTGTCTTTTATATATCCAAAATTGAAAAAAAAAAAAGCGAAGCAGTCGTCGGCGGGACTCGAACGCACGCCGCCGGCGCAAAAATGTATGGACGGGAGCCTTAGTCGGCTCAGCTACGCCGCTTATTCGAAAAAGATTCTAATGTTCTTCTTTACATGGGACATAGTTGCGTGACCCTAACTTTGTTTTGTAATTTCTCCTAAACGAAGGCCCATTGGCACAAACGCCTTTAGGGTTTTTATTAGCTACATGTAAGCTATCGAACGCACTATGACTCGTTGGAAAAGCGATTTCCTAATTGGCGTCATCTCCTTGTCAGTGTTGGAGACTCGGTTGGAGGTGGGCTGCCATATTATTGGATACGGTGACGATACTCTGGTGGTGGCCACTGCGATGACTGTTGAAAGCGCCAGTGCCAACATGCAGACGGCAGCTGTTGTTCACAAGGTCGAACAGCTTGGGCTTACAGTCGCAGCCCATAAGATAGAAACTATTCTGTTCCATGGAGGAAGAAAACCCCTGCTTTTCCCTGAGATCAGGGTAGGACACATCCAGGTAGCCGGCACCCTCAAATATCTCGGGGTTATCTTGGATAATCGCTGGAAATTTTATGACCACTTCCGCTATGTAGCAGCAAAGCACAACAGGGTGGCCTAATCATCTGCTGCTGCTATCCGTGCAATGGTTTACAAGTAAAAGGGGGGTTGAGGCAGAGAGATCATTTATTGCTATTGGCTGGGTTTCCAGGTCCCGAAGCCTACTTCTGATGGGTTGGGCAGCGGGGTAAGATGGCTGACTTTCCTCTGCTGTAATTAGGCTAGGAGGGGTGTACTTTTGTACTGGATTGGGAAGCGTCCCGAATGTTATGCTATGCAGTTTTCGGGGCGTTCCTGGGGTGACGGTCGAGGCAGGACGCTCGGTGGGGTTTTAGTCGGTGAGAGTCCGACATAGTCTCTGACCTTACCCAGAAGGTCGGAGGTATGTATAATGCATTTCCCCATCATCAACAAAAAAAAAGTAGCTTATAAACATGGATGGCTGTGTTATCGCAGTTGTGTTTTTCATTTATTTTATCTAAGCAAGATATGCATTGTTTATGAATTAGCTATACGAGAATTTACAAGAGCGAAATCGAGGTTGAAGTAGTACCTGTGTATGTATGGGTGGAAGCGTATGTGCGTGTGTGTATTCAGCGCCTCGGTTGCATGCCAATCCTTCCTAACTTAATGAATCAATGAGTTAATTTTAGTCTTGTTCACAGTCATTCAAACACAACGACGGCAATAACGCAGAACAATGGAAAATAGAAACACGAAACATCGTTCTCTGTGTTCGTGGCTTCGCAACAGAGATTGTTTATTACAATCGATTAAATAGACTGTGTGTGAGAAAAACGTTTTTAAATATATGTATCATTAAGTCATACACACAAGAGATTATCCTATAGCGACAATATTTTGTCTCATGACAAATATTATTATTACTTATTACTACTTACTCGTCTGACTGTCGACATTGAATCATTTTTTATAATTACACACGTTCGTATACAGCGACAATATCGTAATAACTGTATTATCATAATACTCTTAACCAATGAATCCTTAACGATCAAAAACTTACATCATATAAAACATCGAGAAAAAGTGTATGTTCTCGTTATCACTTTGATCCAGTCTACCATTTGTCTCTGAAGACGATTCTAAAAATTAGTGTTACTTATTGCAAAAATCGTTTGTTTTCTAAATGTTGTAGGCGCTGAAGTCTTTAGCAGGAAGGAATTTTGCAAGAAGATCTTTATTCGAGTTTAAGAAAAAGAGTCCGTCCAAGATATGAGGTAAAGCATGTCTCAGAGAATAAGTGAAAATTATGTTTTTTTAGATTCATATAGAGGATGTTATCTTTCCTTCACCAACTAAGTATATAGTGTTATTCCTTGTAAAAAATTAAATCAGAAAGTCTTAAGCCATTTTTTTCTATAATGTTTAATAAATCTGTTATTCTTAAATAAAGCTCAGCTAATCAGCGCCGTCCTTTAGACTATGAGCCGTGCATCTGACAGTTTGCATGAGCGCTTCGCTGTTATTCCGCCGCTGTCAGGCGCCGCTGTCAGGTTCACAGACATGCGCCCGTCTAAAGGACGGCGCTGATTACCTGAAATTTATTTAAACATAACTGCTTCATTAAACATAGTAGAAAAAATGATTCAGAACTTTCTGATTTAATTTTCCATAAGGAATAACGCTATGTACTTAGTGGGCGAAGGAAAGATAACCACCCTGTATAAGATGTAATCCAAATATTTTTCTCCGTTGTAAGTTGCAAAAAAATACGCCAGTTTTTTTTCTTCTTTATTTCTTTATGTAACGCAAATTTTTCCAAATTATTTTTTTATTGAGATCTGTTTTCAAAATAGGAATCTATTTGAGGTAGAATTTATAGATATAGACAATATCGAGGTTATTGAAACTTCTCAAACATCTAGTCAAAAAGTATTTAGATTATGAAAATTATACTTTCTTACGTATATAAGAAGTAATCATAATATATTTCCTTTCATTGTTGATTGCTGAAAAATAGATTGATCTTTATTTTTTCCTCATTTATTTATACAACTCAAATTTTTCTCCAATTATTTTTTTAATGAAATTCGTTCTCAAAATAACAGTCCATCTTTTGGAATGGAGTTTATGGATACGAAGGACAGTGCATGGTACACGAACGTCGATCATAGCACAGAGTTTATGGGACAAAATGAAACTATTACTCAAAACGTATACAAGTAAGTGAAAATTATAATTTTTTACATATGTAAGATGTAATCGGAATATTTCCTTCTAATGTAAACTGTTAAAAAATAAGCTAGAAGAAGTTTTTCTTTTTTCTTCGTTTCTTTATATAACTCCAAATTTTCCCAAATTATTTTTTAATTGAAATTCGTATTTAAAATAGAAATTTATTTGAGATAGAGTTTGTGGATATAAAGAATGACGAGACTATTGAGACTTCTAGCCAAGATATACTTAGATGAGTGAAAATTATATTTTTTTTACGTACAGGGTGTCCCGAAGACCCATGATGACTCTTAGTGAGAACGTAGAACGGATTGAGGTGAGCAAGAAAATCCTGTGCCGTTTTGCTATATTCGCAATAGATTTTGAGAAATTAATTACTTTGTCTCAAAAAATCAGCGTACAGAAAGCGGCAGCGGACAGAAAGATGCCTTAGGCCGACGTGCGACCGTGACACTCGCGAATCGTATCTCGCCGCGTCCCTCCGCCCATACCTACATTGCGAGCGTGATACATTAATACATGTGCATGACATATCCATGTGTCGAATCGACGCCAAATCGAAGCGTGTCGCCGCTTCGGCTGCATACATGTATGTAGAGGTGACACAGCGAGCGACGTGTA